GTGGTAATCTGCTTTTATAATAACATCATCGACTGTCATCATTGCTCCTAAATGAGTAAGTAGACTATAATTTTAAAAAAACACTATAAATTTAGCTAAGCTGAACATTAGAATTTGAGTTACTCTTTCTGTTACAGATAGTCTGTCTGTGAGACTTATATTTATTAGAATCTAGGGCTCTCCTGATAAAAATTTCTAACTTTCCAACATTCTCTTAGGAGTTAAGAAAAAAGTCATTGGTTCCCAAATCAGGAAATAAGGTCCCTCTAAGGAGGTCTTGGGAATATGTGATCCACTGTTGGTCGCCCTCAAGCCTGCGAGACACTTCTTGATAGTAGGTGGCTGGAACCAGCTGTGCAAGAGTCCTGCACAGCAACAAATTGCCCTTTCTGAAAGGTCACTGGTCCCCCTGTGGAAATAGTCTTAGCTAAATGAATTTAAGTACTTTTATTTTATAGCTGGGAAATTAGAGAAATTTGACCAGGTGGGTCCAAAATTTGGAAAACAAGACTGGCGTGATGAAAAGTGCAAATTTTGCTTGCAATCCTATGTGATAATTTCCCACCATTTAGAAAACACACATAAGATTTTTATTTTATAATTGCTTGCATTTATAGGAAGTTGCAAAATGGCACAGAGAAGCCTTGTGTACCCTTCATTCAGTTTCCCCCAGCAGTTACAACTTACACAATATCATAACTAGGAATTGACATAGGCACTGTGTGTCATCTGCTCACAGGTATAAATTGACAAAACCACCGTTGCAATCAAGAAACAGAACTGTTCTGTCACAAAGATCTCCTTGCGCTGCTCTGTGTAGTCAGACCCACCCCACTGCTCCCATCATAGCTAACCCCCAGAAGCCACCTTTCTTTTTACCATGTTTATAATTTTATTTTGGGAATGGTGTATCAACAACATCATATAGTATGTGACCTTTTGAGATTGTCTTGTTTTTTCACATAGCATAATAACCCAGAGAATAATGCAAGTCGCTTTGTCTATCAATAGTCCGTTCATTTGTATTGCTGTATTCTATGATATGAATGTACCTGAGTTTGTTAACCATTCACCTTTTGTAGAACATTTTGGTTATTTCCAATTTTTGAACATTAGAAGTAAAGTATGAACAATTGTGTACAGGTTTTTCTGTGAACTTTAGTTTTCATTTCTTTGGGATAAATGCCTAGGGGTGTAATTGTTGAGTGGTATGATAATTAATTATATGTCTAGTTTTATAAGAAACTGCCAGACTTTTCCAGGGTGGCTGTGCCATTTTACATTCCAGTGGCAGTGTGGGAGGGATCCTGCGTCCCTGTGTTCTCATCAGCATTTGATATTATCCCTTTTTATTTAAGCTGATCTAATAGGTGTATAATGATAGCTTATTGTGGTCTTAATTTGCATTTCTCTAAAGGCTGGTGATGCAGAACATCTCTTCATGTACTTATTTGTCGCCTGTGTATTCTTTTGAGAGAAATGTTGCCTTACATTTTTGTCCTTCTCATTAGATTGTTTTCTCATTGTTGAGTTTTGAGTATTCTTTATACAAGGGGAGACCCCCAAAATAGGAATTTATTAAAAAAAATTGTGTATTTATTCTTATATGTTTAAACCTGAGTCACCTTCAAAGTACTCTCCATTTGAGGCAATACACCTATCGAGATGTTTTTTTCCACTGCTCAAAACAGTTTTGAATTCATTGATTTTGATGCCCTCTTGTGCTTCTGCTGTTTTTTTGTTTCACCTCTTCCACATTGGCAAAATGTTTCCCTTTGAGGGCTTTTTTTATCCAGGGAAACAAAAAAAGGTCTCTCAGGGTGAGATGTGGTGAACAGGGAGGGTGGGGCACCGGGGTCATGTCGTTTTTGATCAAAAACCGCTGAACACAGTGTGGTGTGGACAAGTGTGCTTGTAAATCACCCATCATGAAATGGGCAAATGCCTTGAAAAAGTCTTCAGAAAAATTCGCTGAAGCCAAACGCAACCTCTCACAGCACCACCATCTGGCTTTCTAAAACACTCACCTAGCAGAGGAAGCTTGTACTACAAGTAGTCTGTCCTCCAGAAGATAATTCTATTTTGCAGGGGGGTCCCTCCTTATATATTCTGGACATAAGTCTTTTGTCAAATATATGATTTGCATATTTTTCTCCTGGTCTGTACTTGTCTTTTCATCCTCTTAATAAAGCCTTTCACAGAAGTGCCTTTAATTTTATGATGTTCTATTTATCTACTCTTTGTTTTGTGGATTACATGTTTAGTATCATTTCTAAGAATTCTTCACTAAGCGCTAGGTCATTTATGTTTTCTTCCAAGGTTTTATAAATTTACATTTACATCTTTATCCATTTTGAATTAATTTTTGTATAATTTAGGGCATGTGAGTTTGTTGGTTGTATGTTTTGTTTTGTTTTGTTTTGTTTGCCTGTGGATATCTAATTGCTCCAGCACTGTTTATTGAAAAGGCTGTTTTATTCCATTGCATCATTTTTGCACAGTTGTGAAAAATCAGTTGGTCATACTTGTTGGTTCTTTCTGGGTTCTATATTCTGTTTCTTTGACCTGTGTCTCTGTCCCGCCACAGTGTTGATTGCTATAACTGTATTTCAAGTTTTTCAATCAGGAGTGTGATTCCTCTCACTTTATTTTCACAGTTCTTTTTCACAATTGTTCAGCTACCCTATCCTTTGCTTTTTCATATAAATTTAAAAATAATCTTTTCTATATTTACAAGAATCTTTCTGGAGTTTTTATAGGAATTACGTTAAACCTGTGTATCAACTTGGGAAAAATTGACTTCTTTACTATGTTGAGTATTTTATCCATGGTCACAGTATATCTCTCTCCTTTTTAGATCTTCTTTGATTTCTTTCATCAGTATCATGTGGTTTTCAGTATACAAGTCATGTGCATGTTTTTTTAGATTTATATCTGTATATTTTTATATATAGCTACAATCCAGCCTTTGTTTATATTATGTATCTATGCATTTTATTATTAGTGATTACAAATGCAGTGTATTTTTTATTTCAGCTTTCATATTCATTGCCAGCTTATAGAAATTCAATGCATTTTTGTGCATTGATGTTGTATCCTGTTACCTTGCTGAACTTGCTTTTTAGTTCTAGGCAATATTTGTAGATTCCTTGAGATTTTTTGTGGAGATAATCATGTCATCTTCAAATAAGAATGGTTTTATTTCTTCCTGTCCAATCTGTATGCCATTTATTTCCTTTTCTAGCTTATTGTCTGGAATTTCCAGTGCTATGTTGAATTAAAGTGGTGGGAACAGACACCCTTATCTTTTTCCTAATCTTAAAGGAATATTTTCAACCTTTCTTCAACATGTACAGTTACCAATAGGTTTTTTATAGGTGCTCACTATCAGGTTTAGGAAGTTAGTTCTTTTCTATTACTAGTTTTTTAAAGAGTTTCTGTCATAATGAGTGTTGGATTTTATCAGATTTTTTTTTGCATCAATTGATAGAGCATGTGATTTTTCTTTAGCCTGTTGATACGGTAGCTGACATTGACTCTTGAATGCTGAACCAGCTTTGCATTCCTGCATAAGTATCACCTGGTCATTGTATATAGTTTTTTTTATACATTGCTAAATTCTATTTGTTAATATTTTGTTAGGGATTTTCATACCCCTAACACATTCATGGGGGATATCAGCCTGTAATTTTCTTTTTTGTACTGGCTTTATCTCACTTTTGTGTCTTTTCTATAGTCTTTTGTATATATATTTAGTCTCATTTATGCAAACAGTGGTCTCTTTTAAATATGAAAGAAGTTAATAAATTTGCAGTGAGATATTTAACTCAGTCTAAAATACTGCTTTATTAAATAAGATTTTGCTTTTAAATAAACATTTACATTTGTAAGTATTTTCCTCATCAAACATCATCAAAAATATTTTTGCATTGAACTATCAAAAATCATCAAAATGCTATTTTTAAATAAATAAGGTTGACTTAGAGTAAATTATATCAATGTATTATTAGTTGCAGAGAACTTTGTACCAAGTAGCTTAATAAAAATTTTAGCAAATATTTAAATACATCATTTTTTTAAAAGATTTTTTATTTATTTTTAGAGAAGGGAAGGGAGGGAGAAAGAGAGGGAGAGAGACATCAATGTGTGGTTGCATCTCATGCACCCCCTCACTGGGGACCTGGCCCAAAACCCAGGCATGTGCCCTACACTGGGACTTGAACTGGTGACCCATTGGTTCAAAGGCTGGTGCCCAAGCCACTGGGCCATACCAGCTAGGGCATAAATACATCTTAATGGAAGGTCAGTTTCTTGTTATATCCCAAGCAAGTTTTATTCCAGAATTTGATTGGGTATGTGCCTTCTTATCCTTAATCTCAGGATTTGCCAGTTTCTTATACATCACATAAAACCAAAGTTGATGTCATTATACTGAGGTCTTATTTTGCTGTTAATAAAGAATTATGATGTGTATTCATGCTTAAGCTTCATAGTATGTTGAATGTGTATGGTATATTTATAGTGAGTAAGATATACACCTTATCTACACATGCATCACTATAAGCATAAATAGTATGTGTGTATGTGAGGGTAACGTTTGAGATCCCAGGCCAGAACTCAACCCACTGAACCATACCAGCCAGGGCAAGTGAGGGTAACTTTTGAAAAAATCAGTTCTTGTCTTTAAAAAATTCACAAGGAAAACCCAATTAAATGCCTTTTGACTTTGTAAATCTCTTGAATAAGTGACAATTTAAATTAAGATATAAATCATGACTATATAGTACTGATATAAACAAAAGCTATCTGACATGATTATTTTTGAGCATCCATGATGTTAGCTTGATTGTCTAAAATGAATATAAAATGTTTATACCATCAATTTTCTATAGTTAAATGAAATAAAATGTATTTTAGAATATATTTTAATGAATGTTTCTAAATGCAGTTCTTAGAGAAGATATAACTTCTCTTATTTCACTTTTGTTCTAATTTTCCAGGATTCAAGCCAAAACTCGAGAGTTTAGAGAGCGACAAGCTCGAGAACGTGACTATGCTGAAATTCAAGATTTTCATCGGACATTTGGCTGTGATGATGAGTTGACATATGGGGGAATTTCTTCTTATGAGGGTTCCGTGCCTCTCAATGCCAGACCCCAGAGCCCAAGAGAAGGACATATGATGGATGCTTTGTATGCCCAAGTAAAGAAGTCACGGAGTTCCAAACCTTCACCTGTAGACAGGTAGGCTCCAGGAGCAATCAGAATATTCCTTCCTAATCAACTTGAAATAGTCTTTGACATGGGAGTATATTGTTAATCAGTTCTTAAAACGGGACTGCCTTTTATTAGTGAGCCGTTGTGTCTAAAAGTATTGGGTTTACACAAATTGAAGGTTAATGGAAGGAGCAGCAGTGGATTTGATAGCTTTTCTAATGATTCCAGCATATTTCATTTTGTTCTGAAAGGGGCTTTACACCAGAGAACTAACCTTTAGTTTATAACCAAAATAAAAAGCAAACTTGAGATTATGGGTCTTCTACTTAAGTTGTATTTCCTTTTAATATTAGGAGAGGCTCCCGTTGTGGTATTTAAATGATGGGGACTGACATGATTTGTTCTAACTGTGACTTATTTAGAAGGACCACTTTTTTTTGTGATATGATTTTATATGATGAAAGTATCAGTGAATGAGATGTATAGTATAGCCAGTTTTCAACTTTCTGTAACAATTTGAAAACTGCCACAGATCCAGGTGTGATTATATATCAGTGTAGCACAAAGTAGTGCAATGTAAACTGTATGTTAATGGTTATATATTTATTTCAAATTTTAACTGAAACAGTTCAAACACAGATCTTTTTCCATCCCTTCATTTATATATTTAAACACCCTCATTTATATATTCAAACATCACATAAAGTTTAGTTCACACAAAACATACTCATTTTTTTGAAACATACATTCATATGCATATACCTGTTATTGTCATAAACAATGTGCTAATCCCATCACATCTTATAATGGTTATCATCATCATTGCTCTATAAAGAAGCTGGGCTTTGAACAGGTTTCACTTAAAACTAGTGCTTCTGGAGCTTTAGTGTGGGTCAGAGTCACTTGAAGGACTTCTTTAACCACAGATTGATTAACCCTTCCCCAGATTTTGATGCAATACATCTGGCGTGGAGCCTGAGAATATCATTTCTTATAAGTTTCCATGTCTGATACTGGCACAACTGGTCTACAGTACCCTTGGAAGGCCAGAGATGTCCTGGAATTATATCTTCTTTGGCACCCATGTGGTGTTTTTGGCTGCTACATTTTGCAAGCAGCCTGTTTTTGTTGTTTATTGCCAGCTTTTTTTAATAGAAGTTTGCAAAGGCAACAGGTGACTCTCACTCAAACCCAGGAGGAAGCATTTTAAAGAATAACAGAAGGAGAAGCAGATCTTAAGGTAAAACTCTGATCAGATATTTGTTCTGTTGTTTCCTTTTTTTAACTTTTGTTGAGTTTTAGGTTTTATTTATTGTTGCAAAAATCTCTTTGATGTTGACTGTAATGAGTGGTTCATGTAAGCTAACACAGGAGGCTAATGGTTTATTTAAACTCCTTCTGTGTGATCACCTAGAAGATTCAGAGTACTTATTAACTAACACAGATGTGTCAGGATTCAAAGACTAAGGTTGTTATTAGGGACATTTTCTTAAAAAAACTTCTTACTGGGCTTTTGCTCTTTGTAAAGGTCAGATAGCATTTGAACGCCTTGAGTGTCCATGAAAGTTGTTTTCTTGGGAGAAGGGACAGCAGAAACCCTGGCAACTTTTGGAAAAAAACTGAAAGAAAATTAGTTAATGTGTTATTGATCATTGGTAAAAGCATTAATCATTTTTAGCACCTTCCACATGTAATCAAGTCTAAAAAATCGGGGAAGTGCTTCTAGTAGTTGTTCACAAAGCTCAGAAGTTCCACCTGACATGAGAGCTGGTAGTCAGGAGGGATTTTTCAAGCTCCTCAGGGCCAGAAATAATTGCTTTAATCCACAGTTTAAACCCTGGTACCCTACAAGTATCTAAATCTCTCCTGACGATTTGTGCACATTTTCAAAAAGGCTCACCTGCCTAGAACCTATCCGCTACTGGGATCTGCATCCCACCTGCCTCTCTGCTCAGCACCATGCTGACCTCACCTTGACACTCGGCCTCCTCTCCAATTTTCATTAAAAACCCACTCAGCAAAACATTCCAGAGGAGACTTAAGTCATGGGAATGAGTGACAATGAGCAGTGAATGGCTCAAAACCACATCGTATACATATATCGCTGTATCCAGAAGCCACCTCAGGTACAGCCTATATGCCATCTGCCAGGGATTGTACAGTTCTGTGCATTTGAGCCTTCAAAGGGTGTTTGGACTAGAGCGTTTCTAAGATGCTTCCAATTCAAGGGACAGTTTTGTTTTTTTTTTTTTTAGAAAGAAAGATCTGAGAAATGTACATTTAGTCCTGTAAAGTACTTCTTCACCAACTAGGATTTAAATATGAATTTGCCTTAGAAATAACGGCCTCACCTCTGTTGTCTTTTTCTGTCAGAGAGAAAACTAGAAAAGTGTTTCTTAGACTTGAGTAGTGTTGAGACTCTTAAAAGGAAAGACAGTCTCTTAATACTGCAGTATAGAATTAAATTGTTTGGATTATAATCTTACTTAAATGTAAAAAAATAAAATAGGACTAAATTCCTTCTGTTTACAGCCATTACACAACTATAAAACCAAACATCTTTACAAATTAAACAAAACCAAGAGCAAAACCATTACATTCAAATAAACAACATTAATTTAATGTGGTCAATAATGTCTGGGTTTTTTTTTTAATCTAAACTCTCACACAAATCATGAACATGGTGGATGCTGCATGGCAGGTTCCTTTGAGATTGTTTGCCTCAGCCCATGTGCTAGGGGCTGACTCAGTGCACCCTCCACTTTCTCAGTCAGCTCTCTGCAGTTTTTTGCAGGTCTGTAGGCAGTGATCTTTGGCCTGTATATGTCTCATTGATGTGTTGTTCATGCAACAAGTAAGGAAGTCAATGGACAGTAAAAGTAGCATTTCTCTGTGCCTTCATATTTGTAAACCTAAATTCAGACAGTGAAATAACACTTATAAGATGACTTAGCATATGCTTCTGTTAACTTTTAAAACGTTATCTTTCAAATGGAAACATAAAACTTGAAACTCTTCATAGAGTATAGCTTATATGAAGAATATACCCAATAAATTTCTGTCAACTAACTTTCACCAAAATTTGCAGTTGGTGTCTGATGAACCTACTATTGAAGTTTTTTTATTTCATGGGAGTATAGGCAGTCAGTTGATGATCTGAAGCATAGCCTGCATTTGTTTTGGGATTTTCCTTGTTCAGCAAGAAAGCAGTATTCTGAATTTTATCACTTGACCATTTTGATGGGTCTTATTGTCAGAAATGTGGATCTGGTAGCCCTACATGGAAATAGCCAGGGACAATTTATTAAATGCTGTGAATTTAATGTTAAAAAGGGATATTTTCTCAATTTTAATGTGTTTTTTATAAAATGCTTTTTATGGGAAAGCTTTATACTATGTCTAGAAATATTTTCATGCCTATTTAATCTTGTTGAATTATGAACTTATTATCTGACTTGGCTTTGGTCACAGTGTCATTGTTACTAGTATTTATTAATGTCCTTGGTAACATTTTGATTTTTCCAAGAAAAGGTGACCCTACCCTTCTATTGTATATGAAAAACAAGGCTTAAACTCACAAAAATATTGGTGCACCTATTTTTGTCTGGTTATAACTAGAAATCTCAAAGATTTAGCTATTATAAACAATTCATAATTCTTTGTCTCTTTGGCAAGAGTGCATTTCCTATTTGCTTGTTGTGTTTCAGCCAGTGAGATACTTCAGAGTCTGCGGCAGTGCTCCCTGTGTTCCCACCCCTCCTGCACTGTGTAAGACCCTTGTAGCTGCCCACCTAATACCTATTTTCTCTTCTTCCTTACTTAATAGAGTCCTAATTTTGTTCCAGCTGGCAATGTGTCCCGCTAAAAACTTCAATATCCCAGGATACCCTGTAGTAAGAGGTGGCCACAGGGCATTGTTCTGACTAATGAGTAAGAAGTGAGGCTAGGATAGGACTTCCCACAAAGCTAGTTTTTTCCTAATTAATGTGGATCTGACTCAGCTTTTCTTCTTTGCCATTATTCTTTCTCCCTTCCTGGGACTTTGATGGGTGCGCCAAGGTGGGGTTCATCTCACAACCCTGAGGATAAAGGCCACATGGATGGAGAGAGAAACAGCTGGTCCCTTGAGCCACTGTTCCAGTCCTGGCCTGCCCACCCTCTAGTCCTTATTGTCTATGGAACTGAGCCATCTGTTTCATGGAGCCAGTACCATTCTGAGGCCAGTGAATCAGACACACAGGAGCCCAAGGGTATCATCATTTTTAGATCAAAAATTGTCTACATATTGGAGAAGTATCCCCTATTTGAATCATTTCAACGGTATTTTGTAAAATTAAGTAATGGGCAAAATTCTTCTTTGTCACTCAATTAGCTCTTTTTGCTTTTGTTTTGTTTAGCTTCTACTTAAAGAAGTGTTACCAATCAAATGTTTGCTAGCATAGAGCCTTAGCTCTGATATACTGCTATCTGCAGGCAACTCCTGCTAGCATCAGTTCTGCTCTAAAGTTGGAGGAAATGGAGTGGAATGTACACAAGCATCAACTATGGAGCCCACTGCCTGCACTTGATTCTGGGTTCCTCTGCCATCAGCTGTGTGAACGCTATGCTCCATTTTCCTCATCTGCAAAATGGGGATATTGGTGCTGACCTCCTGAGCTTAGGGAGGCTGAGTCCGTGAGCATGGTACCTTGTCCACAGACAGCGCTAGTGCAGTGTTCGATGTTGCTGTTGTCAGTTACGAAATGAGCATTTGCTCTTGGGAAAGCACAGCACCATCACCTGGGTGCAGAAACAAGCAAGGAATGAAATTGAATAAGAGTAGGTTTTATTCCTTATACTTGACTTGCATATAAAAGGGTGGGGATGTAGTTCTGCTGATTCAGTCATTAAATAGTTTGGTCTCTAAGTATTCTCCACAAATCATATCATATCATGAACAGTTTCTCTTTAAATTAAAATTGCTGAGTTCAGTAGGACACATTCACATTCCCTCTATAGTGTAAATACTTGGAATAAAAGTGCTACAA